TAAACCCCGCGGGGTATCTCAAGTTGCGATCGACCCCTCAGCGCAATACGGCCTTGCCAAAAGACTGCAGATATGATGAAAATAGTATAAAATAGCATGTGCTACACAGAATCGATTGATCATTTGTAAAGTTCGTCGCTACTGCCAAGACATTTGCAAAGGATTGCAGGCTCGTCGTCTATTTGGTGGATTCAACAATTGAAAATGAGAGCAGTTCGTTTCATTTGAGCAGTGTTCAGTTGACCCCTGGCAGGGATGATGAGTTCGGGGATCAAATTCTCCCCTTGATATATTGGGGATTATGATAATCTAATAGGGGCATCCCTATAAACTATAAACCACTATAAAATGGAACAATCCAAATTGTTTCTGGTGTTCAAACGCATTGCGGCTTCAGACCCTGGCCTGTGGAGATTGATTTGGGCGTGAACCCGCGTCCTTTTTTGAGAAATTTGAAGAGCGTTGTTCCAAAAACAACGATACAACAAATCAAGCGTTGAAAGTTATGTCAACTTGAAGATAAAACCATATAGAAACATGTATGCATAGTGTAGATGCACGATGCATGCATCAACATTTGGAATGGATACTGCGTATCAAAGAGCCACAACATTGTTTTATTTGGTTTGCGGTGTCTGAAAAAATGATACCCAAAAAACTCATGGCTTATATAACCTTACGTTTCCGAACATCATGAAGCTAAACTGGAGCTTGGGTTTGCAATAGAGGACTGACATACGGCTGTGGGCTGAGTCGATCGATGGCTGTGGGAGGAATTTCAGCGCAAGTTCTTGCGGCCAGTGGCAACGAACCATGAACACATGAAAAACATGGCTGATTAGAACGGGAAATCCGTGGGGAATGATCATAGTTAAACCAATTTTTGCCATACAAGATGATAGTATATGATATTATTTGGGAATATAATGGAATATTGGCCTTACAATTATGTTTTCGTGTTTGGCCTTCAACTTGTACGAGCCCCCAAGCGGCTGAAATATCTCTTCGACTTGGGACACTGGGATGCTGGTCACTGATGTCACTGACTTCAGAGTTGGGTAAACCTTGGTTGGGTAAAATTATTGCTTGAAGCTTTTGCTAACAAGAACAAGATATAATTAGAGACTAATTACATATATACGTGTATATATATATATAATAATTATATATTATTTATATAGACAGATACACCAGTCCGTTTTATATCATTACTTTTGGTGCAGCAAGTGCTGCGTATCTAGGATTGGGAATTTATTATTCACCGGTGAATTTCGCATTTAAAATCATTTATAACGGGTGATAGCCCAGTTGTCAAACATACAAGTGACTCTCCAACTAGTTGCGGCTTGGTTGTCACCTCATGTGACAATCACTGACTATGTCCCTATTTCCCATACTTCACTCATTCAGATTGGATAATGGTTCGTCTAAACATAATTACCCACTACATCACTACATCCCACTACACTACACAGATCCATACAGTGCACCTCATTCTCGGACAAATCCACAGATTATACATGAGTATACATATCTTTATAATATACCCATTAAGTTTATTTGGTATGTGTATTGCGAGCCTTTGGAGCACGGGATGGTTCATATCCTTTCAAAATTGGGAGCTAAAGAGCCAACGAGTTTGACCCTGACCCATCCGCAGTTCGAACATCTTCACAGCGCAAAACAGAGGGGTTGCAACAAACAACCAGATACACTCCAGTAATCAAATCTGGCAATGACAGGCAATTGGCTTTATATATATATATACATGATATATTCAATATGGTGCTTGATTTTCCTGTGCACAATTGGCATTATTTGTCTAGATATTTCCATCCATGTTATGTAGAGTATATGAAAGGCTACCCAGGATGGAATATGTCATTGAAAACCGTGGTGCTTTTGTCTCCACATATAGTGGCTTCCTGCAAACTGTTCCCTCAGAACCAACCCAATGACGCTACGTTTTTTCTGATTTCTCTCGGATCCCCTCAAATGTAGTGGTTTAGCATGATTTTCACCCCTGCATGATGTCACCATGTACCATTTTTGGACAAACCCATCTAATACCCGTTCACCAAGAATTCAATTCTCGGACTCTCAAGTGCCACATCGTGAGAACGCAAAGCAAATACTTTCAGCAATAGGTAGGTCGAGCCAGTGCTGTGAGATTGTCCACCATGAAATGTTGGTGTATTTTTTTGTGAACCTTGGTGGAGCTATGTGTCAAACCCAATCAGAAAAACCATCCGAACCCTCGAGTGGTTTATGAAAATTAGTACACGAGATACATCGAGATACCCCACTACTCATGTTTTCTCATATCACTATCATTGTAGGTTATCGTGGTTGATTTTGTCACGAATTGGAAAAAACTACCTGGAGAGAAACTTTCATTGGGCCATCATTTGTGACCAATCCTAAACTGGGCATATCGACGGGTAAATGATGTGTATGTCATCAAAACATTTCCAAATTACCATTTATTACAGTAACATCAGACGTTAGATGGGCATTGAGGGGGGGTACCATATGCTGTACATTTGATGCATGTCATATATATATATATATTCACAAAGTAACATACATCCGTGCATACAAACAAAATTCCAAGTGAACATTAGTTTCTAACATGTTTGCATGCCTTGTGCAATTTCGTCCTCAGCGGTTGAAGGATATACATGGTGAACAATGTGCGGCTATCCCGTTGAATCAATGGTTTCTAACCATGGTACTGTACATACATACCAGGTTGGATGCACATTCAAGGCAAAATTCAAAATAGTGACTACGGCCATCATGGTGGGCGAAGAATTCTCAGTCAGGCCCACTGGGGCCTATTGCTATTTTCCAATGCTGCGATTCCACTCTGCCAGCTTTTATGGTTGCCTAGGTCTGACTCCAGTGTCAATGACTAGTGCCAGTGCGCAACTGACGCAGTTGGGGGGCAACTATGCCAACCTGCTCACAGCAAATACCAGACTTCAGACATAGAGATTTCTTGCTGGCTTGCAGGCATGTTTACTTTCGTGTGCATTCCAGTCAGCAAATGATGATTCACCTGCTTATAGCGGAATTATCCTATTGGTAGCTAGATTACAACCATGCAATTTCACTGACAAACCAACTGGGATGCACATACAAGTAGCATTTCAATGGATAGTTTGTTTTTTTCCGTGGCTTTGTAACGGTAGGGGTGGAGCCTAACAGTTTAGCACCCAATAATTGCCCTAGTTAACGTCGTATCCATAAAAGGGTATGAGCTCATGAGAAAGATTTCAAAAAGCCGTATTCAACCCTACTGTACCTAGAGGACATGACATGGATACGTGGGTAGTTAGTTTTTGGATGTTTTTGGATGTTTTTGGATGTTTTTGGTACCTATCATCCTCACTGGTGTTGCTCACTCACATTGCAAAAACACACTACGAGCATCTACTAGCCACGTTTGAGACGGAAACGCTGACCCCCAAAGGCTGCGTCCTGCTGAGTCAATTTCAGCACCAAATGAGTGTTGCTTTGTGTTGTCCTTTCAACACCTGTGATGCTGAAGACAAGCGAAGAGCTGGTGAGCGTCAGTTCTTACCTCAGACGCATCAGAGGAGAGATACCATTTTTATCCATGTTTGGAGGTATGAAGATCCATTTGGCAGCTGTTTGATATTCAACCAGGAATCAAGGTAGTGATCGAAGTGATCGATAATAATGATTATATCCTGTACCTAGTTATACACATGTTTATGTTATACAAGGTATGTATATACACAAATGACATATATGGATGCTATACTGTTATACGATTATATACGTACCGTATGTATTACACATGTGTATATCATTTTCCCAATACCCGGATGTTTTCTCCGCTCCCAGTTCTGCTTGAATCCGGTGTTTCAGAGTAGACGCCAGGAATAGGCTGGACAAAATTTGAGATGCCTGGGTGATGGCAACCACATAGGGAGGTGAACACATGTCGTACGTACGTACGTAACTACGTACATGCCGACATACAGACATACATACGTCGGTACGTACATACATACGTACGTACATATGTACCTACGTACGTACGTACTACATACGTACATTTGACATACGTAACTACGTAACTACGTACAATATACGCACGTACGTACGTACGTACGTACGTACGTACGTACTAACGTACTACGTTACATACATACATACATACATACATACATACATACATACATACATACATACATACATACATACATACATACATACATACATACATACATACATACATACATACATACACACACACATACATACATACATACATACATACATACGTACATACATACATACAAACATACATACATACATACATACATACATACACACATACATACACCCATGCATGCATGCATGCATGCATACATACATACATAGATACATAGATACATAGATACATAAATACATAGATACATAGATAGATAGATAGATAGATAGATACATACATACATACATGTATTTGCATATACCTGCTACTTACGCATATGTGCCTTTTTCTAAGTCTATAACCTTATATATGATATTATATGATACATGCACTATATCCTCCCGACCAAGCTCAGCATTGCAACTCATTTCAGCCAACTAATAGAGGGTAGTCAAATCTGGGGAAGCCTTAGATGTTGGCTTTAGTACTTTGTTTTGTTGCTGTAATTTTGAGGATGCATATGATAAATAATCACCAGCCACAATCCATGATGAGTTTTTGCGCCATCTAAGATTGCCCATGAGATTTTAAAACTCGACCCCCTATTCAGCAGCCATGATGATTGGATTCGTGGCTACTAAAGTCTCCGATTCGTGGTTTATCCATGCTTATCCCACATATATGAATGGATTACAACATATTCCGCATTACAACTATGAAAAACTCAACTAGTTCAGTTTTTTTCAGTCGAATGATCCTATAAGCATTCAAACATGTTAAGGATTTCCCAGTGGCTCCGCAGCTGTTTTTGTTCGACTCCCGGTGTTTCAGCACCGCAATGCCTGGGGGTGAACTCGCCCAGTCTGATCGGAGATGTGCCTTGGCAGAGATCTTTCCGGTGGATGGTTGGTGAAGAATGGGGAATTCATGGGGAATTCATGGGGAATTCATGGGGGTTACTAATATGATATAATGGGTATGGTTATGGGGATATCATGGGGGTATGGTTGGTGGAAGTTACAAATGTTACAATTCCAAGTAGCCATTAAAGATAATGGAGATATGGATGGGGATCTGATGGCGGTTACAATATGATATATAATGAATATATATTTGTATATATATATAAATTTATTTATATATAATGCATAGTGATAGATGTTGAAGTACGTACCGTGATGTACGCCGTACGCATCGCATCGAATCTAAACACTTGAAAATATCTATACGTGATTTGCAACCCCACTTGAAAACTAAAGTTTTGATGTTTTTACTTTGTACAGCATCCGCGCACTTGCAACCGCATAGCAAAGTGCCGGCCGCTTATTGCTGTCAAAACACTTTCAATCATGTTTAATCCTTGCTGTATGACAAAGCCATGGACCCATGGTTTACGTTGATATTTGGGTTTCTCTGAAAACTGTGTTCTCCCAATTTACTATGGATGTTCATTGGTTTTCATCATCTTCCCGCAGAGATGGCCATGTGATATTTGGTCCCCAGCTGGGAAGGTCTTCTGGAACTTCCCAGGCTCAGCATCGTGAAACACCACACGAGTAATCCGATCAAATCCATAGTAAAGTCATTCCATGCAACAATATGTATAATGTCATTTAATCCATGGTTATCCATGGTAATCCATGGTAATCCATGGCAATCCATAGTTAATCATAGTCCAATTCTCCATGCATTTCGCAGATGTTTCCATCAATTGATCTCCACCATCGCCCTCAACGCAAAGGATCCAGACGCGGCACAGCGCCGTCTTGGCCACGCTGGCCCTGTTGCTGTTGCCGCTACTGCTGCTGGAGCTGGGAAAAGTGGGCTTGGAGATGATCCTGATGGTGAACTAATCCTGATGGTAAAGATGTATACTAGGTGGAGCTGTTATTCATTGTTGATGTTTATTTAGTTGTAATTCATGTTGTTGTTTCATGGTAAGCATGATCGTGGACTACCCGCTGAAACCCATTTAGCTCCAACAAACTTCACATGCATCATCCCTACCAGATTGAAATTCCCCAGAAATAGCTCAATGGATTTTTCTCCCTGTAGGTGGATTCTATCGAACAAATAGGGCCCTCCAGTTGCTACAAAATGACGGAGTCCTCTGACTTCAGCTGCGTCTTTGAAAAAAAGCTGAACAATCTTTGCTGAACACAATTTGCGTGAAGAGAAAGTAAAGATTCAGATGGTTTGAGGGTGTGTATGGACCGAGTTGAGGTCAACTCCCATTGCTACATATATGCATACATGCATACGCCATGCATGCACCCATCCATGCATACATGCGTGCTGCGTGCATGCATACATATCGTGTGTCATGCACATACTATAATATACTATATATATACAGTGTATACATTATATATATATATACACATTGTATACATGTGTTACATAAGGATATGTGATAGTATGCACAATATCTTGTAAAACCCTTCCAGATATGTACCATTTAAAAGCACGGATGCGCCAACTTCAGTTCCATTGAACCATTTTTTCTAGGAGCTCCTGCTGTATTTCCTCCTCTTCCTAGCGCTGCTGCTGGCCTTCCTTCTCCTCCATCGAAAGACGACCGGGACCGCGGCGGTGACAGGGACTGCGACCTGCGCTGATGCGAAGGTTGGCCGTCGATGTCGTTGTCTCAAAAGCTGCCATTGAATGGGGCATAACTAACTTTGTTTACCCGTAGAAATGTATCTATGTATGTATATGTATATATATATACATGTGTGCATATATGATTGTGTCTCGTGACATATGTAGGGATGGATGGATGGTTGGATGGATAGATGTTATTTTTCCTTTATTTTTCTTCGCAAATCTGATCATCCAATGATCGCTATGGAACAGCCTCCACAAATGCCGGCAGCCGAACCTGGCGATGGAAAAACCCATGGAAAATCCACGGACCAAAGCTACACATTCAAAGGGAACTGCGTTGGTCAATGGAGAAGCGGAGGCTTCTCCATTGTCAGATTAGATTGGACGCTAGTTGCTGTATGTTGCTGATATTCTGGATATTCTGGATATGTCCAGGAATCTGTCTGACATCTGAAAGTACTGCATGGTCTAACATCAATCAATTGAGTGCTGGAAAACAGCGAACCTTGAGACATTTTTGCGAATGCCTTTCATAGTTGGATGTAGCAAGTATATTCTTGGGTCCAAACAGCGTCAACATGTGCTTTATACCAACAGTTTCAAAAGTGCAAAAACACATTTCGGCTGAACATAAAGGACAGCTAGAGTCTAGGACAGAAGTTTTCGGATTTAAACATACATATTTCTGGTGTGATTGCATCAATGGAATGTTGGTTATTTCCTAATTCTGCTACTTAAATCAGAAAATTTCTTTTGCTGGCTATATAAACTAGGCTAAACTATGCTAAACTAATTAAGCTCAGAATGGTTGTTGGTTGAATTCCAAAATATGTGTTGGTTAAATCCAGTATGAAATCCTCCTACATTTGCTGGATAAATCCCTGCGTTTTTTTTTACTCAAATAAATGAATTCCTACGTTTCACAGCAAAATCTCCCAGCAATTGTTGCCGAAATCACTCACCATCCAATAAATTAAACTAAATTGACATAGATCTGTGAACCCATCATGAATGCAGGTATATGCAGGTCATCTTCCGAACGGGGAAACCTGGATTTCCATGATTTAACCAATCTGCAGAGAGTAAATTGACATCATTCCCACCAACCATTTCGTTGGAAAAGAAAATTGAATCCGTGCTTTAATCATATATCGCGGACAGCTTCTGAGTGGTGCGCGCACAGCGGCAGCAGTGCGGCGCAGCACTAGGTTCAGGTCCGACAGGCTGCTTTGTACACATCTCGCTGGCAGGTGGGTGAGTTTGTCCCCACCTGCCAGCCATGGGTAGTCCACAGGATGTGGGACGACACAACATGCTAAACTTCAACTTCCGCAGCACAGTGCGCCCAGTAGGGCAAACCGGTGTGGAACCGAAAGCGGGCAGCCTCCTGTCAGGCATCGTTGAATCCAGCCCTTCGAAGGACATAAGCGGAACGCTCACGAAGCAAAACAATGCAGCCAAGGCAATGAAGCCAACAGAAGGAGGGCAATGTTTGTCGTGACCTCAAATTGTCCGGATGAAGAGTGGCATGTTCGTCTCCACCGGTGACTTCAAGAGATGCACCAAAGGGAATGCCATCCGATCAGGGCACTGAGCAAGAAGGAAACAACGCCATTGCAAACGATCTCCCAAGCATCAGTCGTAAACAGCCCCACTAGTGGAAAGACTTGGGCCGACAGATAAACCACTGGTTATATAATTCAGATACCATGTGGTTATTTTATCGTAGAAAATCACATGTTTAAAGGAAAATCATCATAAATCATCTATTCATCTATACATGGACCATTTCCCATAGAAAATTGTTAAATCCCCCGAGGGGTAACCAAGATTCAAGAAGACATATGACATATCTCATAAATCCTACGGGTTATATAAATTCTGTATTGTTTTTCATCCTATTTTTTTCCTACGGTCATAAACCCGAGATTTCTTCCAACATACTATGGCTTCGCCCGAAGGCTCGCAGCACCGCTTCCATCCTGCGCGAGCTGCGCCGGGGTCGCTTTCGGCGCAGCGCAGCGGCGGTGGTGCAGGAGGCGGGAAGGTTAAAAACCGCTGGTGGTGATATCAATGTGGTAAACACATGCTTTATCTATGCTTAATATCATGGTTGATATATGATATATGGTTAATATATGGTTAACACAATGGTTAACCTCTTATGGTTAATATATATATATATATATCCAGATATGGATATACATGTATGTGTGCTTAATCTATCACTACACAGTGAGAAATCACGGTTAATGTGGGCGACCCAAATAATAAACGTAGCATGACTGGGGATGGTTGAAATCCCGCCAATAAAGATTGCGATTTTGGGGCTGGTTTGCTGTTGGGTTTACCACGCTACTGGGAATGTATGGTGGCAATATTGGGGGATATGATTTGATAACAGATGGGGATAGAATCCAAGAAAAATAATTCTTGGCTGTGTCTGACCTGTTGAGTCAAGCCACATGAGCCAATGGTGTCTACGCACCAGAATGTTGACGGTGGACAGTTCACACTTCAGACTAAAGATGGCCAGTCCATTTGCACTCTGGGCTGTAAATTTTGACCCACGCCCACAACATCCCATAACATCCCATAACCATGATATTGATTGTATATCCCATTAGATCCCATATTGCCATGGCAATATAGTTGTGGCTCAATACTTAAGGTATGGTAAAGACCCCAGGCGATTTATACTCCCAATCCACACCAGGAATCAGCTGATCTAGACCGATTAATTGCTAGGGATCACCGCGGAATGACCCATGTTTGTTCTTTGAGACACAGATACATACATATGGTGATCGATCTAAAGGTCCTTGTAAGGAGTTTTAATTGCGAAAGCCGTGCATGTTATGTTGGAAATCCTCGCGAAAGTTTTTTTTCGAGTTCGCGAAAGTAAAATTTTATTTGGCGAAAGTTTCGCGAAAGTTGGGTATTATAATCATTATATGTAAAGGGCTGCCAACCCGCTGCCGCCCGGGGTCCGGCAGGAGAAGGGCACCAGAGAATGCGAGTAGCAGTAGCCAAGTTTCCAAAAGTGAGGCTTTGCGAGAGCCAAACACCAAGGCCCCTGGTCTTCGCTTTTCCTTCAGTGCACCCCCCTGCTGATGGCCGGGGTCTGTGAATAGGGATAATTTCGCGAAAGTTCCGCGAAAGTTATGCGAAAGAGCGGGCGAAAGTCAAAGTGCATGTTGAAGGGGGTGGGCCAGTAAACTTTGCAAAAAAAGCTGTCCTGAGAAGGGATTCCGTGATGCTAGCTGCATGTTTAAAAGGCTACCAAGAAGTGATCTGTGATTCTCTGGCGTAATTTGGCAGGTGGTGAACGAATCTTCATAAGAGGTGTTGTTGGCCAACATGGGCCCCGCGAAAGATAAACATGGAGTTTGCGAAAGTTTCGCGAAAGTAATTTTTTTATTCGCGAAGAATGGCCGTTCCGGGTTAAACGAATTTTGATCAACAACCATATATATATATTTATTTATTTAGTTAGTTATTTACATATATACAGTTATTTGTATATATTTATTTTTACATATATATATATACAGATCTGTGTATATATATATATGTATATATATATATATAAATATGTGTGTGTATATATATATATATATATACTGATCGATCCATCCAAAATCATCGAATGCCGTTTTGTTTCAGTTGTCTAGCCACTGCGCTGCGTACATCGCAGTCCGGTTTCAAAACATGCTGCGGCAAACTACTTTTTTTTGACTTTCTTTGTGCCAGACTTCCAATGTCCAAGTCTTTGTTTCACATGCGTTTCAGGACTTGGGTCAAATATCTACGGACATGATTTGGACCTGAGGAAGGTGTCCACGTTCTGTACAACCATTGTTTGACCAGTGTATCGATCTCGGGGCGAAGCTTGGACCCCATATTTCCCTTCATCTTGCGAAGGAAACCGGATCCAATGAATTATTTCAAACTTCGCCAATTGCCAATGGCGATCAATACATTGTGTTCCCGCGACCTGGGGCAAATGACGGGGACTGGTGCGCAATGGAAGGTACGTGAAGAAGTGAAAAGCGTAGCATCAAGAGCGTGTTGGAAGGTACGTGAAGAAGTGAAAAACGTAGCATCAAGAGCGTCTTGGAGTGCGGGCAATTTGCTCACTTCGACATGAGTCTCAAGGATTCAGTCTGCACAAATTATAGCAAGGACAGCCGAGGCAACGAGGCAGGTTGCAGGAATTGGCGAGGTCAGCCCTTAATTTGCCTATCAGAATTAGCCGTTAGCCGACCTCGACGAGGTAGCCTTGCATTGGTTCTGTTGCATGCTTGGGCTTGGCTAGAAAAACTTTTTGGGGGCCAAAGAGTTTTATTTTCTATCGCCAGAGGCCGGTCAGCAGGCAAGGAAGGAAAAAAAACTTTTCAGGCCCCAAAAAGTTTTTTTTGACACATTTCAGTCTGGCAGCCGTGAAGCCTCTGAGTCGTCCACCTAGGGCGCCATGTTGCGGGTCACACCGCACCCCCTGGAGGGGATCCAAGGAACCGACCCCCAACAGGGTCCCGCAAAAAAAAACCGGAAGGGACCCAAATTGGCAATCTCACCTTGTGGAAAAAACTTGTCGGATGTCGAATTTTTTTTCCCCGTCCTGGACATTTTCCCCGGTTGTCTTGATAATCTATCTCACCTTGTGGAAAAAAACTTTTCGACATCCCTCCCTGATATTCTCTCCCGGGTGTCTGTGAAACTCTTTATTTTATCTTGCGGGTCATGGTGCAGAAGCAGTAGGATTCAGCCCTTAATTTGCTCATCAGAATTAGCCGACCTCGACGAGGTAGCCTTGCATTGGTTCTGTTGCATGCATTGGTTCTGTTGCATGCTTGGGCTTGGCTAGAAAAACTTTTTGGGGGCCAAAAAGTTTTATTTTCTATCGCCAGAGGCCGGTCAGCAGGCAAGGAAGGAAAAAAAAACTTTTCAGGCCCCAAAAAGTTTTTTTTGACACATTTCAGTCTGGCAGCCGTGAAGCCCCTGAGTCGTCCACCTAGGGCGCCATGTTGCGGGTCACACCGCACCCCCTGGAGGGGATCCAAGGAGCAACCAAGACACCGCACACCCGGAGGGGATCGAAAGGAGCAACCAAGACACCGCACCCCCTGGAGGGGATCCAAGGAACCGACCCCCAACAGGGTCCCGCAAAAAAAAACCGGAAGGGACCCAAATTGGCAATCTCACCTTGTGGAAAAAAACTTTTCGGGCCTCGAAAAGTTTTTTTTTCCCGTCCTGGACATTTTCCCCGGTTGTCTTGATAATCTATCTCACCTTGTGGAAAAAACTTTTCGGATGTCGAAAAGTTTTGTCCCCCTCCCTGATATTCTCTCCCGGGTGTCTGTGAAACTCTTTATTTTATCTTGCGGCTCATGGTGCAGAAGCAGTAGGATTCAGCCCTTAATTTGCTCATCAGAATTAGCCGACCTCGACGAGGTAGCCTTGCATTGGTTCTGTTGCATGCTTGGGCTTGGCTAGAAAAACTTTTTGGGGGCCAAAGATTTTTATTTTCTATCGCCAGAGGCCAGTCAGCAGGCAAGGAAGGAAAAAAAACTTTTCAGGCCCCAAAAAGTTTTTTTTGACACATTTCAGTCTGGCAGCCGTGAAGCCTCTGAGTCGTCCACCTAGGGCGCCATGTTGCGGGTCACACATCACCCCCTGGAGGGGATCCAAGGAGCAACCAAGACACCGCACACCCGGAGGGGATCGAAAGGAGCAACCAAGACACCGCACCCCCTGGAGGGGATCCAAGGAACCGACCCCCAACAGGGTCCCGCAAAAAAAAACCGGAAGGGACCCAAATTGGCAATCTCACCTTGTGGAAAAAAACTTTTCGGGCCTCGAAAAGTTTTTTTTTCCCGTCCTGGACATTTTCCCCGGTTGTCTTGATAATCTATCTCACCTTGTGGAAAAAACTTTTCGGATGTCGAAAAGTTTTGTCCCCCTCCCTGATATTCTCTCCCGGGTGTCTTGTGAAACTCTTTATTTTATCTTGCGGCTCATGGTGCAGAAGCAGTAGGATTCAGAGTTGCTCCAGAAGAGCATTGCATCTCTGCGATAATGTCAGAGATGTCACCACCCAAGCGCAAGAAGCGCAAAGACCGATCAGACTCAGATTTAAAAATCCCTGCGAGAGACTGTGGATCGTGGAAAAAAACTTTCGGAAGCTGAAAAGTTTTTTTCCTTGGGGTTGGACCCTGGAAAGAAGGCCCACAAGCTAATTTATTCCTTCGAATTAACGAGGTAAAGCCTTAATTTGCACCTGCAAATTAACGAACGAGGACAGTAATCATGGGGAACAAATTAAGACACGAGGGAGACGAGGTAAGAATTAAAGTAATTTGGCCAGATTCAGTGCTGGGTTTTGCAATGTATTTGAAAAGTCGTGATGGAACCTGTGTTCAGAACATTTCAGAACGTCCCATTTTTACCATGGGTTTGAACCTCATTTTCCCAAACCCATTGGCTCTGCCACTCGAACACAGAGCTTTCCCAAAAATAAGCGTTTTTTCTCCTCTGCCCTAGCGAGATGCCTTTTTCGCAAGAGAGCCAACTGCTTTCAGCAAGTGCGGCCCTGCGTTCCATCGGAACATGAAAGCCAAAACGTACGTTGATCAGCGTAACATCATCAGCGTAACATGAACGTTAACATCCCACCCCACCCCAACCCCCATGCTCAGCGTAACATCATCAGCGTAACATGAACGTTAACATCCCACCCCACCCCACCCCAACCCCCATGCTCAGCGTAACATCATCAGCGTAACATGAACGTTAACATCCCACCCCACCTCACCCCACCCCAACCCCCATGTTCGCTAAAAATGACACTTTTGTATGGGGTCGCTAATGCGGCCGTGAGCAAAAACAACCATCTCTCTCGAAGGTGATGTCCGCCGACCTTCCCGAAGACCTACTTGTGGCCGAGGAGCTGGTTGCGGAGGTGCTTGGAAGTCTAGTTCAGGGTTTCGTCATAGTGTGATGTGATTTGTTTGCCTGAAAAAATGGTAATTCAACGGCAATTTTGTGGTTTGCATTTGTATTGGGATTTATATATAGAGTTATTGGGTTTTATGGTTTCAATCCCATATGAAAAATTGGGGGTTATATGGATTTATGATTCAAACATGGTCATTCAATGGCAATTAGGTAATTTTCCCTACAAAAAATGATGGTTTCAGCATGTTTCAGCCACTAAAGTGGTGATACAACCAATAAATTATGGGTAAAACAAAATAATGATGGCTTAAACATCACAATATGGTGGTTCAAACAACGAAATTGAGGGAGGGAATCATTACATTTCGGTAAACCTTGGTGAATTGTAGGTCTATCGTTTTATCGGCTAGAAATGGAGAATCATCTCGTATTAAAACAACTGAAACTCGTTGGTGAAATGGGAAGTCAACCAACGACTGTGTTTTTCCACCAATTCAATGCGTACAACTGGCAATCTAGCCTGGTTGGCTGCAAACTCCTATTTTCATAGGGGGTTATCATCTACTTACATGGGATCCATAGGGGATTTCCCCTTGACAGGTGCGTGCACAGGGGGGAGTAGAAAGGGGGAGTAAAAGGGACAATTATGGGGAGATCCGGATTTTTACCAACAGCAAGATGGGATTTTCCACGGTCCAAAATGGAATTTCTGTGGTTAGATTGCTGAATGGTTGTGGAACCGTAACTCCCAAAAAATGGAACCGTAATTGATTGGATTTGAAATGATAAATCACGATTTGAAGATTTTCTGTATTTTTTGCTACTTTCTGAGGGGTTACTCTATATATATATATATATGTATTGATGTCACACCAAACAATATCTTGTGTAAGGAGATGACCTGGGGCAAAACAATGTGACTCTTTGTCAATATTACCCATCATTGGTGGGTTTACATGGTTTTTTACGTTATTGATATTGATGGGTTTTACATGGTTTTATTGGGTTTTATCACCCAACAACTTTTTGCATCTCCAGCTGCTACTAGCGCAATCCCGGTGATGGTCATACCCCAAGCTTTGATGGCTAAAGACCAGGTGTGCCAGACGCTGGAAGTCTGCGACTTCAGCTCAAAGGCCCCCCGCGAACCGTGTTTTTCTTTGTTGAGGGATATAATGGGAGTCTATGATGTACTAGAATGTGGAGAGGGATTTCCCCCAACACAGTAACACGTGGTAAAAGGTTTATATAAGTTTATGAATCACCAAGAACCACTAGTAAGGGCGAATCCTGACCAGCTATCATCGGAAGGTTCACCTTTCATGGGGGCTGAATAGCCATGATAGTACTGTCAGCCCCAGAAATTTTGAATTGGTACCCTATTAGAAAACTGGGGGATGATTAGTCCTGGATTTACTTTTTTTTGGGTCGTATCAATCATCAAAACAAGGTGAAATTATGATAGCCACTGATAAACAAGGCTGAAGGCTATTTTGTTCTTAAGTCACATGTGGCGGTTTATCATATTTTCATGAATCAACAGTATTTTTTGGGGGTTTCTTAAAATGGCTGATCCCGAAGTCACCATGGGTTTCAAAAGCTAAAATGGTCATCCATGACTTGGATGATTTGGGGATACCCCCATGACTTAGGAAAAAAAACCTCCATACAGTTATCCAATATTATATCATATTATACACATCCATTATACCCATTATTATTGATTATCAAGGAGTTTTACTGTATATATATATAAGAAATCTCCATCCATATGAGTTTGTGCTATAGTTTTTCTGGGCCAGCAGTTTCGCCGAACATGATGGATGGGGATCAGGCCTTCCCTGGAACCATGGGTTTCGCGGTGTGAACAGGATGCTTCTGGATTAATTACATGATATGGGGGTTTCCATAAATGGGGATACCCCAGAATGGATGGTTTATATGGACAATCCCAATCTAAAATAGATGATTAAAATGGGTCCACCCATTTTCAGGAAACCTCCATATCGATATCATATCATATCCCTGTTTGCTCGGTTTGATCCTTGCCAGGTGTTGAGGGACCTCCAGAGATCTCTTGGAGAAAGTTCTCTGGCAGGGAGTGCGGATGGACGTCAAAACATGGTCAAACAATGTGGATACTCTAAAACTCCAAGATTGCATTTCATGGGGAAACATATGACAATATACTCGGGGAAGACTAACTAGCGGATAAATTGAGGTTTTCCCTTTAAATGTTCAGACTTGGCAAGATGTAATTTGTTCCAATGCTTATGATTGTTCTGGTTTTTACGTTTCATCCCTTGTTGGATTGAAAAACTCCATGCTGAAGATATCCTACGCATGTTTGCGCATGTAAAATCCTCAGTTTGGCTTAAAGAGTTTGCACAAAATCCAGGACTAGTTGTTTTATGATTTCTGGGTCATCCTAAGGTAATGTTGACCACTGATTAATCATACGCCGCCCCCTCTTTGACCTTGAATAGATTTCTAGCCACCATCAAACTTGTTTGTAAGTATTGATTTTCAATTACCACAATTTAAAATGAAATATAAAATGCAATTTCCAAAAAAATCAGGAATCCAACAATTGTTTTGATATTGATTTAGTATTCATTTCATGGATTTAGTATTGATTTATTGATTTAGTATTCATTTCGTGGATATCTGGGCAATTCTGGGTTTAGGGCCAAACAAAAATTAGCTTTATTTAGGGGTCATTTATTATTTAGTTTGGGAGTTTGGTTAGCTTTATTCAGGGTGAGTTTAATAATCGTAGGTGAGCACTAGGTGAATGAATAGATTGTTTAATTACATGTTTTTACACCATACCTTGAGGGAATACAATACCTATAGTGTGTTCTATGTTTTTCTTGGGGTATCAATCAAAGCCTAGCTAGGTTTTCTTGCTGGGTCCTGTCGTCCAATTTCGGATTCACGCCTGTTCAGCGGTTTAACTGCTTTGCTTACAAGTCAACCAAGTCAACAACTGGGATACAAATTTCCGGAATCAAACATGGCTAGCTGATGCTAGCTGGATACTCCCCTATTTTATCCTATATTTACTGTGACAATTTTTGATGGTATATATTCCCAGCATTTCCCAGCTCCATTCACATCTCGGGGGACTTGGGAACAACCAGCAACCAGATCGTGCTGCAGTGCTGCAGGTTGTTTGTACCTTTCCGGTGGTGGCATGCTAGGCATGTACCACTTGGGCATCTCGCTGATGGCGGGGCAGGCGATCATGAGGCTTTTGCCAACAAAAGGCGATGGAAGAAAATACGAGAGTTTCGCAGGATGTTTTATACCATGAAAGAAATCTGGATGTTGTAAGATCAAGAATAGTGGTGGTGTAGTTGGTAGGACCATCACTATTGAATTTAACAAAAAAGTGTGTTCAAGATTATTTAAGATTGTTGCACAATAACCATGTACTCAATCTATTTGTTCCGTTGCATGTGCAGGATAGTTGCACAGATGTGTCATGATTGGTTTGTGCGTACGTTTTCGTACGTTTGTTTTGTCTTGCACAAGGTACTCGGAATTCTTGCGGATGCATCCCAGTTAGTCAGGGGTGCAACAACAATATTACACCCGAGTTTTATCTGGAATCAGTGTTGTTATTGTTATGGTTTTACTACCCAATATTATACCCATTTATTATTGATTATCAAGGATACGCACCTGGGATTTATATGAAATGGTCATCGTGATGCCTGGGACAGCCCATTTGTCAAGCTCTACTTATGCCTTACTTGACACAGCCACCAAGTACATCCCGACTATGTACCATTCCATCACATTATACACATACACACGATACATTTTGCATGTACGTGTTAGATAGTCATAGCCATCCTGAGTAGAAATAGAAGCATTTAATTCTGCGGGAGTTTTTTGTTTGTTGTTGTTTTTGTTTCCTGGACCTTGGTCACAGTCAGTTGTCAACAAATGGCTATCGCAACTATCGCTCACTCATTCCATGGCTCTAATTACTTGGGAAGCAGCTCATGTACCGATGTACCTATCCATTTATGAGCAATTGTCACAATGAAAATATTGTCTTCCGCACCGTTCTTCGCATCGCATGAGCACCCTTATTTTCCAATGTTTGTCCTCCGATCATATTTCTTTTTCCTTGAAATTTGGGCACCTCAGAATTTGATGCTTTGAAACCATCCTTTTCCATCCTTTTCTCACAGGATGGGGCCCCAGTTATAAGTTGGTTTAATAACCATTATAATATATTATACTCCCCATTAACTAGTTCGTTATATCTACCATAATGGGATTACTGTGAAATATCTATGATAGTGATATTTATGGTAGTAGTGAAAATTCTATGTTTTGCTGGTTCGTTATATCTACCAGAAACCATAGAATTCAGCCACTTATAAACCAACCAACTTAGCCACTTTGAAATTTGATGACCATCAAATTGTCATCCCCGAGGTACGGTGCGCCGTTTGCTGGAGGAAGATCTGATGCCCCAACACCTCTGTGGCACGTCGGTGCGGGCCGGAGTGCGGAGCGCGGAGTGCGGAGTGCTGAAATCCCCATGTTTTAAGGCACAAAAGATTGTCTTTTCCCCAGAAAATGTGATGTTTTGTGCGTTAAAATGATAAGATGTTTTGTGAACAAAGACTAGTTAGATAGTTGTCTAAAGAAAAAGAACAAAGAACTACTGTAATGTAGTTTTTGAACAATTGCCAAGTGTCTAGAAATGATATGAGAATAGCAAGCATGTTCAGCAACGATATATACAAGGATGTTGCACGTTTCCCCCTGGTTGAAAAAATTAGGAAACCATCGTGAAATGCCGTTTATGCATGGGCCACAAAGATATCAGTGCGCAATCAGCCCCAAAATGGATGGTGTCAGACCCTAAACATGGTCCAAAAACTTCAAAAACCATGTGGGGCTGGTACTTTTCATCATAACTTACCTATCTCATCCTATCTCTACCTTTTGAAGATGGGATGAAACCTGCAGAAGTCCACCCCACATGCGAGCCATGGATGGTCCCAGCTTGGGTTCGAACGCTGCCTGAAAAATTCTTCTGGGCATCGTGTGTTCCTTGTAGTTTTCTTCAATGAAAATTGCCATTTATGGAGGTATTTCGGTATTTCCCATTTCAGACAAAAAACACATAATGAGTTGTTGGACTAATGTCCGAAGTGCATCCCATTTATATCTCCGAATTGGTTGTTTGAATCCCATTTATATCTCAAAAAAAGCCCCTTGTTTGAATCATCCCATTTTCAGCCCCCAAAAAAACTCAAACATCCCTCAAAATCATGTTGTGTTTGATATTGCGTGTTGTTATCCCTATTCTATAACCATCTATATCCCATGATATTGTCATAGCCCCCTCTATGGTGAGTTGTACATCCCCGTGCTCCAGGTGGGATCCATCGTGGGTGCATATGTGGCCACGCGCACGGACGACGAACTGAGAAGGGAGCTGACGGACTTGGACGGACTCCAGGAGGGATGCTGCGACGAGGCTGTTATATCTTGTTACAGTATATTATACCCTTTGATGGATATATCATAATGATATATGATGTTATATGATGTATTCTTATAATGGGTATATAATCAACAATAAGATAATAGTGGTGGTGAATGATGATAAAAATGATGGATTGATTGGTATATGATGGTGGTTACCCTCTGGATCCCTCTGGTAAGCGTTTATATAACTATGAAAAATCACCATTTTATTTCTATGGCCATGTTCAATAGTTACGTTTGTTTACCAGAGGGTAATGGATAATATCCTCATGATCATGGACAATGGATAATATAAATGATAATGTTAGCATGGGGATATGATCAAATAGTATCCATTAGTGAATATTGTATAACCATGTATAACCCATTTTAACCCATCAATGATCCAGGAGTTGGACGAGAAATGCAGCCCAAAAAGAACATCTCATGGTTTCTCAAAAAACATAATTCTAATCCTGAAGTACTAGTGTGGCGCACACAACAATGCATCATACCCAATGTTATACAGTTTACAATTTTTTCACATGCAGCGCTTCCCTGAATCCATATGGCCACTTTTCGGTGACGTGGTGGAGAGGAGTGGTACCGACAGATGGGTCCTTTGGAGGGGCCTTTTCCTGTCCAATATTGGGAAGTCGTGGTGCGCGTGCTGTGGCGAGGCAGGTCGCTGCCGGTGGATGCTGGTGGATGGCATAGTTCCCCACATTGTGAGGGTCGAAATGGGAGTGCCCAGATCGCAATCTATGGATATCTTTGGCAGTTTTGAATATAATTATACACATTAGTGTTCTTGATCTATATACTGGACCGCTGATTTGAGTGAAATTGTAGTAGCCTTAGAGCCATGTTCTTCTAGGATGCTTGCATTTATCCCCTGTGTTAAAAGATTTTACATGCGACTAATAGTCAAGATATAACTTGGTCCATGTTGGTCGGGGGATTGGAGACTGCAATCCTAAAACAAATGAAAATTCTATTGTAACAATAGTCGACCCATGGCAACATTTGGTGCAGATATGTGGGGATCATTTTCCCATACCAGGGACTTGATATTCTGACCGAAGGAAATCCCCCAAGGCTCCTGTGATCCATGCGCAACGGGCAGGCTACATCTATGACTACATGAATCAGTTCCTTGGCGGCTCAAAGGGTAGCAGAATCCAGTGCTCTCCAGTCGCAGTTGATGGATCATATACCCTCTGGTAAAAACTAACATAACTATGAAAAATCACCATGTTTAATTGGAAAATCCACTATAAATGGGCCATTTTCAATAGCAAGCCGTTAGTTTACCAGAGGGTAGCCCCAGCAAAAATTCTCACATTACATCCCCATATATCTCTGTTGTACCACTGAAATCCACCCAAATCCCTTGCCCCTCAACTCATCGCACCTCTTCCCTGCCACCCTTGGATCCCCAAAGGGGCCCCATACGTTTCCATATTTCAAGTGAATGTCACCACATGTTGCATGCACAACGTGTGGTCACTACAATTTCATCTATATATATATATATATATGTATATATGTATATGTATATATATATATATGTATATATATATATATGTATATATATATGTATATTATATATGTATTTATGTATATTTATTTATCTATTTATTTGTTTATTTTTATTTATGTATTTATATGTAATTGTTTTATTTATTTATTTAGTTATTTATTTATCTATTATATACATAATTTACGCATATATAATATACATAATATTATATATATATACATATATCTATTAAATACATATATATATATATTATGTATATAGTATTTAGTGTACATCCAAATGACATAATGACATTGAGTTATCTGGCGTTCAACAAGCCACCAACTTCAGGTACATTTGCCCCAAGAATAAGCATTCATGTAGATAAACAATGCCAGCACCATGGATAGGTGATAAGTACGGTTCCCTTGATGCATATTCCCAGAAAAACAGTAACAATGTAGCAATTTTCTGCCAGGATGTTCGAAGGTAACACATGAGAACATAAGGGAATAGATCATCACCTATTCAATCTATTCTCATGCCATATCTTCAAAAGATGAACATCCAATTTCATCCCAGCGATTTTGATCCCCCTTGTCATGTTGAGTTGTTTGTCATCCCCTTGGGGGCCTGGCGGGCCCCGCCATGGGCCCCTGGGCCCAGGTACAAGAACCAGGCGACCTTCGTCTCCAATGCTTTGACCTTCGCGGAGGCGTATCAGCGCACCGGCAGGCGCCGCCATCTTGGCCCCTCCAGTGGCCCTCCAGAAAAAGCATTAGAAACCAACAGAAAATGGAAACCACCATTAATGTTGGTTAATGGTTGATTAATGTTGGTTAATGTTGGTTATATACACATCAGATACCCATTTTGAGACACACCAATGAAACCCATCGGTTTTTAGTTTTTTCCCCTCTGCGGCCAGGAGCTTCACCATCACCTGCACGCCGGTGTCGGGTGGTCCCGTGGTGCTGCTCAACAGGTGGCTACGGTGGTAAGCCACGGAGAAATCTGGGTATCTGATGGGTATATAACCAACATTAGCCAACAAGAAGATAATAATGGTGGTTAATATAATTGATGATAAAATGATGGATATATGATGGGTAGATGATGGGTACATGATGGTGATTACCCTCTGGATCCCTCTGGTAAACTAACATAGCTAAGGGAAATCACTATGTTCATAGGTAAATCAACTATAAATGAGCAATTTTCTATAGCTATTTTATTTTACCAGAGGGTGATGATGATGATGATGATGATGATTGATATTATGATATATATATATATAATGATAGACATATGATGGGTAATAAGATCGTAATGGTGCTTATTATATTTTATTATGGTACAAGTGTGCCTAATCCAAAATGTGAAGATGGATAGTCTTAAATATCAGCTTAATCTGTCCGGGTAAATAATGGCTAAACAGATGATGATGAAAAATGGTAAATATTTAATTATATAATGGTATATAGCTGAACAGCACATGGGTAAGCCTATCCCGACATGAATAATAATGGTTTTTATATATATAATGGTTAATGCATGTTAATACTGTGTATACAGCCAACAATAAAATGGCATGCAAATGGCATGACAATGTAAGACATAAATTTGGGTAGACCTTGTTGTGAACGTGCATTTGATATTTTTTTGCCATTTTTAATGGAGATATATGTGCCCGTGCTAGTTCCCCACCTGCCAGGTGAGGGTTGTTCGATTTTATGTCAGTTGCCTCCTCCTGCCTCGTCCTCCTCCTCCTCCTCTCCTCCTCGTCCTCCTCGTCCTCCTTGTCATCCTTGTCGTCCTTGTCGTCCTCGTCGTCCTCGTCGTCCTCGTCCAACTGCGACCCGCGATCCACAGTGTTCTCTGCCGGACCTCAACCACGACCATCCACGCCCAGTGTTCCCTGCCGGACCTCAACCACGACCATCCACGCCCAGTGTTCCCTGCCGGACCTCAACCACGACCATCCCCGCCCAGTGTCCCCTGCCGGACCTCAACCACGACCATCCACGCCCAGTGTTCCCCTGCCGCACCTCAACCGCCAGTATCCACGCCAAGTGTTCCCTGCCGGACCTCATGTAGGAAGATATGGGACAAAGAATGTGCAGAAGAAAGTTAGAAAGAATGTCAGAAAGAATGCCAGAAGATATGCCAGAAGATATGCCAGATAGATATGCCAGATAGAATGCCAGATAATATGCCAGAAGATATGCCAGATAGAATGCCAGAAGATTTGCCAGATAGAATGCCAGAAAATATGCCAGAAGATATGCCAGATAGATATGTCAGAAGATATGCCAGAAGAAATGCCAGAAGATATGCCAGAAGATATGTCAGAATATATGCCAGAAGATATGTCAGATAGAATGCCAGAAGATATGTCAGAATATATGCCAGAAGATATGCCAGATAGAATGCCAGATTGAATGCCAGAAGATATGTCAGATAGAATGCCAGAAGATATGCCAGATAGAATACCAGAAGATTTGCCAGATAGAATGCCAGAAGATATGCCAGAAGATATGCCAGATAGAATGCCAAATAGAATGTCAGAAGATATGCCAGATAGAATGCCAGAAGATATGCCAGAAGATATGCCAGATCATATGCCAGAAGATATTCCAGATAGAATGCCAAATAGAATGTCAGAAGATATGTCAGATAGAATGCCAGAAGATTTGCCAGTAAGAAAATGTATAAATGTCATGGTGGGGATCACACGAAGTAAAGTAATTATTTTTTGTTGCCAAAAGATGCCCACTTTGGTTGATGACTTCGGATCTTGGAGACAGAAATCTGGGACGGTTTTGGTCCAAGGACATTCCTAAGAAAAATGGGCTCCCCGCCAGTTTGATGATCAAGTCGCTGCCAAATGATAAGAAAAACATAGAACAACTAATTGTGAACATAGCATAACATAACCATAAAATTGGGGCCTGGACATTTCCAGAGGCACACGGCGCCAAATGTGATGATCGCATCTGCTTCTCGGCGCCGATATGATTCAGTCGAGTCTGAATGCCAATGCGGATTGCTGCAGGCTGAATATAATTGGTAGATTCTTCCCAGTCTTTCATTGGGAGATATGCACCCAACCACAACAAGAAACATGTTTTTTTTGGTTGGAATTTCCTGGAATCCTACTCATGGTGAGTTGGGGATGGTTGATGGTATTGGCTTTACCACATGATTCCGAATAATCCAGAAATTAGGGATATCTCCGTGCCGGACACGGGTAGTTTTATTTATACATTATTCTAGAATTTTGGTTGGATATAAGTATCAAACGAACTTGGGTTATCTAAGATCGTACGCTTAGCAATGAAAGCTAGCTGGTGCAAGTTAATGAATATCATGAATGCATTCTGCAATTGATGGATATACTTGGCAAATCATGTGGCAAACATGCATTTCATACCCAACCAGAAGCTAGTTTTTTTTTTTTTGCAGGGTATGCACAATTACCGTAGCTGTGAGGAAGGGATGTTGGGGTACTGGGTTGTACTTCTTTGACATCAAACAAATGACAAAACTCATATGGGGGTCCATCTTGTTAACTTTAGATCCCCGCCCCGAGATGACATTCTCCATAAGGAATCATATTATATGCTTTTCTGCGGAGCCATCAAAAAGACCACCTCTTTATGGGTTGTTATGGTTATTACCCTCCGGTAAATTAACAGTTCGACCCTGCCGGGCTTGTTGGGCTTGGAAGATTAGTTGAACCAGCAGAAATGGCGTAAATTTTAGGATGAATCAACAAGTTAATTTACCAGAGGGTACCCTCTGGTAATGACTAACATAACTAATTATTGAAAATTGCCATGTCTAGTTGATATACCCATGAAAAATGGTGATGTTCCATATTTATGTAAGTTTACCAGAGGCAGAGGGTAAATGTTATTAACCTACCTGATTCATTTTGGGGCTTAGTGGATATAATCCACCACAGAAATACCCAGAAATGCCAAGCAGCAAAGCCATTGGGATTCAACCAAAAAGATGGGATGATTTGAAGGTAATTAGCCCGGATTTTAGGAAACCTCCCCATTGTGGTTGGTTATATACCCTGTACAATCTATAGATATCCATATTCGGGATTATATGTTTTAGTTATTATAGATAAATCTACCCTAATGGCATGGAAAAACACGTGGCATTTTTGCAGCTGGTTGCGCTGCTCAACGCCCTGGTCTTGAGGCCATTTGTGCCTCATCCTCCATGCCGATGTTGGTGGAGGCGTGGGGGTCAATGCCTTGACGGGTACGTGTAGACATGATATGAGATGAGATGATACACTGTAGACATGTATGCATATAATATATATATTTATAAATATATATTTTACATGTACATACATACATACATACATACATATACATACATAGACATACATATACATACATTTACATTAACATACATATACATACATACATACATACACAAACATACATACACAAACATACATACATACACATACATACATACATACAAACATACATACACAAACATACATACACAAACATACATACATACATACAAACATACATACACAAACATACATACATACATACACAAACATACACACATACATACATACATACATGCATACATACATACACACACAGACATACATACACAAACAAACATACACACATACATACATACATACATGCATACATACACACATACAAACATACATACATACATACACAAACATACATACACAAACATACATACACAAACATACATACATACATACATACACAAACATACATACATACATATACATACATACATACATACGCATACATACATACATTTACATACATACATACATACATACATACACATAGATACATACATACATACACAGCCATACACAGACATACACATACATACATACATATACATACATAGACATACATATACATACATTTACATTAACATACATATACATACATATACATTCATAGACATAAACAGAGATACACAGACATACACAGACATACACAGACAGACAGACAGACAGACAGACAGACATACATGTATATACATACAATTACATACATTTACATACAATTACATACTTTTACATACAAAGGCTTACATAGACATACATATACATACATTTACATGCATATACATACATTTACATACATATACATTCATATACATACATTTACATACATTTACATACATAGACATACATATACATACATATACAAAAATAGACATAGACAAAGACATACATTCATACATATACATACATACATACATACATGCATACATACATACACACACAGACATACATACATACATACATACACAGACATACATACACAGACATACATACATACACAGACAGACAGGCATACATACATACATACATATACATACATAGACATACATTTACATACATTTACATACAAAAGCTTTCATATGCATATACATACATATTCATAAACAGACATACATAGACATACATTCACGCACATATATGTACATTTACGTACATATACATACATAGACAAACATAGACATACATAGACATACATTTACATACAAATACATACATAGACTTAGACATACATTTGCATACATATACATACATTTACATACATACACGTACGTTTACGTACATATACATACATGGTCATACAAAGGCTTACATAGACATACATATACATACATATACATACATATACATACATATACATACATTTAAATACATATACATACATATACATAAATAGACATACATAGACATACATTTACATACATATACATACGTAGACATTCATAGACATAGATTTACGTACATATACATACATAGACATACATAGACATACATAGACATACATTGACATACATAGGCATACATAGACATACATAGACATACATACATACATATGCATACATGGACATACATATACATACATACATACATACATACATATACATACATAGACATACATATACATACATTTACATTAACATACATATACATACATAGACATACATATACATACATTTACATTAACATACATATACATACATATACATTCATTCATACATACCTACATACACATACATACATACATACATACATACACAAACATACATACATACATACATGCATACATACATACATACATACACATACATCCATACATACATATATATATATATATGCATATATATGTTTATGTATGCATATATATGTATACATTGATATGTATGTACTGTATGTTATTTGTAGTATTCATTGACGTAGAGATGGAATATGTTTCTATATTCATTGCCCAGTGTTACAAAATCCCCATTGGATTCACCCAAGGATCGACCTGGTACTTCAGGCCTGAAGAATCAATCAGGCCCTGGTATGCTCATGTCAAGCGACTTGCTCACAATACTCACCCACGTGTGTATGTATATGCATGTATATGCAACATAAACTGACATGCAGTGCAGAATGATGGAAAAAATCGGCAAACGTTGGGTTGCTTGGTAAAGTTCCTGAACCTATCTGGTATGATTTTTCCCCAATGATTTCAATATTTTTCCTCAACCACCGACCAGTTCGGGATACTTTTGTGGGCTTTGACTGGGGGGGTCTGGGATTGTGTTGAAATCTAAATATTTTTTACTTCGTTTTTGAACCTTCTCCTATAGTCAAACCTGCTGAAAAATCCGGCATTGCCACTGCCACTTTTCCCATAATTGATTGAAGGGAACATTATGCAGAATGCAGGAGACTTGCACCAGTGATTGTCAAAACTGCGGTTCTTATCATGTTTTCCAACCAACCCAGTGATACCAGAGTACGACCTCTTAAGTTCCAGTTGTTGCTGGTTTACTCTGCGTTTTTGTTGCCTCTTTCCTTGGCAGTAAAACTAAGATGTTCTTAGTTGAATCCACGTCTTCGGCCAGTGTGATGGTTTTGCACCCAAATTATCCCGCTTATCATTTCAATGTTGTTGGATTTAACATGACCAACCCCCAATTTTCATGAAACCTCCGCATGTTGATCACATGTTCGCACTTAATCGAGGTAAATCCCGTTCACTCCACATGTTCCGCCGTGACGCGAAGCAAGGCAGTACGCTTGCTGGAAAAGGCGCCGGACGGCTCGTTGCGGCCCTGGTCAGGCTGGATGTTGTTGTTCCCCGGATTTCATCCGTGACATGGGTGTTTTTACCAGCAAGACTTCGAAGACATCATTGACAAAGAATGATTGATTGATGGTTTATTAATGGTTGATTTATTATAGTGGGATACACTCCCAGTTTAACACGGAAGCCTAAGCCCCAAGTGTTTGGAAGATGATGTGCCGAACCTGATCATCGTCATGTTGGGGTCTGATTGCCACGGACTCACCTTTGGACAGTGAAAGTTTGACCGGAGACTGGGAGACCTTTGTGGAGATTTAACCCAGGTATTGAATGGTATTGCGATATTCTATGTATTATATTTACACATAATTACCCGGGGCGTCAATGTTGAAGTTTACCTCCTAGGCGGACAATGTTGATGTTTGGGTTGGTTAAACACCGACATTCGCAATGTTGATGTTTAACCCCTGTGAAGAAATCTATGGACCTTGGAAGCGCAATGAAGTGCAAAATCATCATCATCATCATCACCATCATCATCATCATCATCATCATCATCATCATCATCATCATCATCATCATCATATATGTATATATGTACATATATATATATATATAGAGAGAGAGAGTTTTGTTTGACCCGCACTCCTGTGGGGTTACCATACCTCAGAGGGGAGTGCCCAAATAGTAACTCTTGCACATAATGGCTGTCTTATTTGTGGCATCTAAGGCAAAAGGGGAGTTCAAGCTACACGTACCACATATGACATATTTGACTTGAATCAAAAGAACCTTGGGATTGAACCCAAAAGTGCATCATGGAACACCGAAATCATCATGTTCAATCGAAACCCAGGGTTCATTTCAATAGTCAGGAGTCAGGAGTCAGGAGGTTAGCCAAAAGATGAACATGTTGAAATGATGTTTCCAAGTGTTCAACTTTCTAAGTGGGCCAAAAGTCATTCGCACGCTTGCCGTTTCCGGACTAGATCCGGACTAGATCCTATATTCCAAGTATGTGTAGGGTCCCTACAATAGATATGAAGTCCCTACAATAGATATCTCCAGGATTACCATGGAAAATTCCCATTGACTCCCACTACATCGTCGTTTCCACGGTCGAAATCGTCGCAGGCAGCAGCGAACTCATGCGTGATGGCACCATGCTGGCTGACTCGCCATGCGAGCAGATGCAGCGCTGGAATCTGCTCCTTGGAAAGTGAAACATCGGGGTTTGTAAAACCACAGGAAAACTGGTGGAAACCAAATGAAAAACATGGGAAACATGGTGTTAGGGAAGAAACATAAGGAATGAATGAGATTGATTAATGAATTTATAGCTGATGGTATGTGAACCAACTAGTTATAACTAGTTAATGGGTGTATAAACCAACCTATAACTGCTGGGCCTACGTTGATGGGGAGTTATACTAATGCTTGGAGGAACATCCCATTTGGAAAGTGGTTAGCAACTGGGTTAGCCATTAATAGAACAGTATAACCCACGACACGGGGACTTACGATCACCAGGGTTACCACTTTCCAAGTGGGATGATCCTCCACGTCAAAGCATGTGGGGTGAGTTTTCATGTTTTTTCCCATGAAAAATACGTGTTTTTTGTTGTACCCGGATGTTCCATTATTTTGCCAGGATGCCCCAATAAATTGCCTCTTGATTTGTTACGCTTGTCCAGGAACTTGTCATTTTCCGTGACTTCCCCTGATTCTTAATGTTTAGTGTTTTTGTTGGGGAGTCGTCAATCATTAACTTTTTGTGTGTTTGCCAAACTCTTTGGTGGATTCGTTGTTCTTTTTGCTGTTTTTGCCGAAGATTTTCAGGAGTCAAAACCCCCAGGATTTTGGACCTGGACGATCTCACATCTGACGCTGCTTTGATGAACTAAGAATCATTCCTGGCCATCAAATGTTGGGAATATGTTGCCCATTTGAAGCCAGGTATCCTCAAATGGTTTAAGTAATACCATTATTGAATATACGATAATAGAACATATCCCAACATGAATAATACCCTTATAAGGGATCGGTATTCATTGCCTTATAGTATCCAATTGTAAATATGCATATACATGAAACTGATTCATTCCTAGGACCCTATCACCATCTATCACCTCAATTTCATTTATATAATCATATTCACCATTTAGGCGGTAGCGTAATATTAATCACACATGTACACGGATTATTGTTCAATCAATTATACAAACACTGGTACTAAACGTAGAACATGGGGCAATGATCGGCCCATTCCCCCATTCCCTACTAAGCACCAGTAAGTTCCTCATACCGAGGCGGTGGTCTATCGTCTCTCAGGTTCCGGTTGTTTGGGTGGAAAAATGGCTGTGTTTTTCCCCACCTGGCAGGTGAGGGTTGTTAGATTTTATCAGAGTTGTTCTTCTCCTCCTCCTTCCTCCTCCTTCTCCTCCTCCGCGTCCTCCTCCTCTTCTACCACCTCTGCCTCCACTTCCACGTCCACTGTTGCCTTGCCAACTCTTGGCCAAGCTCTTCGCCAACTTCGGAGCTCAGTGCGCACTGCTGGACCTCAACCTGGGACCTTCCCAGCTCAGTGCGCACCGCTGGACCTCAACCTGGGACCTTCCTAGCTCAGTGCGCACCGCTGGACCTCAACCTGAGACCTACCGAGCTCAGTGCGCACCGCTGGACCTCAACCTGGGGCCTTCCGAGCTCAGTGCGCACCGCTGGACCTCAAAAGCCAGATAGAATGCCAGAAGATATGCCAGATAGAATGTCAGATAGAATGCGAGAAGATATGCCAGATAAAATGCCATAAGATATGCCAGATAGAGTGCCAGGAGATATGCCAGATAGAATGTTAGAAGATATGCCAGATAGAATGCCAGAAGGTATGCCAGATAGAATGCCAGGTAAACTGTCAGATAGAATGCCAGAAGATATGCCAGATAAAGTGCCAGAATGTTTGCCAGATAGAATGCCAGAAGATTTGAGTAGATAATATGCCAGAAGATATGCCAGATAGAATGCCAGAAGATATGTCAGATAGAATGCCAGAAGATTTGCCAGTAACAAAATGTATAAATGTCATGGTGGGGATCACACGAAGTAAAGGAATTTAGGGGGATCCATCAGCCACTGGTGATTAATGGTGGTTTTCATGGTGCTTAATGATTGTAAAACCATGGCCGATAATCACCAACGGCTATTGGCTTGAAAACCACCATTAATGGTGATTGATATTGGTGAACCATGATTCTGGGCTTCGATAATCTTTTTGGGGTGATTTGAGTGCCAAAGATGAAACATTTGCCATGCTCTCTGGTGCAAAAATCATGGGATTTGATCATCAAAGATGGGATGTGAAACCGGTTACAAATCAACATCGGACCATCATCCCAGGCGCCAATACTCTTGACAGGTCACCATACTGCCACTGACTGTAGCAATTGGTTTCGGATTTATTGCTGGGATTATGCCCCTGGAAAGAAGGCTTGGTGGGGCTTTGACAAATGACAAGTCCACTATAAATCCGAAATCATAGTTTAGCCTACTTGAAAACCAGGTCGGCTACAGTATCTAGTTGGCCCCTTTTTGAAAGGTTACAACCCAGTTCCTTATCATTACTAACCGCCATTAATCTTAGAAATCACTATCCATCATGATTAATAATCATTAAACGTAGTATACTAAGATACCATCACGCATTGCTAACCACTAGCTGATCACGGTAAACGATTTACTAATCAGTCGTGATGAATCATTACCTACTACAAACAAGTTATTTCTCATGAAGAATTTTTTGACAACTACAAACCAGCTATTAATGATTAACATTAATCATTCATCATGATTTCCACCAGTTCTTCATTACCATCATGGCTTGAATTTCCACCAGTCGCGCCAGGTGAATCCACACGTCGTCCCATTTTCGATGCCCTTCGTCCTAGCAAAGCGCATCAGCCAATTTTCCGGCGCAGCTTGGCGGCGATTCCTCACGAAACATTGGGATTTCGGCCTCTTTGACCTTCCAACAAGAGCATCATTGGTACTGCGGTTCTTCTAACTACCTATATAGATACGGAATATATATATATACATATATATACATATAATTATATATGTAATTATATATGTATATATGTATATGTGTTGTATTACATTGTATATATATACATCTAGCACATGGTAACTGCACTAATAAGGAACCCAATGAAACCAACCATGAAGCCGACCGAGGTTTTCGCGAGTCGATTGACATCGGCAGAGGGATGGCTAAGAAGGCTGGATTGTCAAGGTTGACCCATGTTTTTTCTAGGTCAAACTACGGCTTAGAAAATGGCTTTATAAGCCGATAAGCCATACATGTATGGAATGCATATAAATATATGATGATATATGTGTACATAAATCTGATGTTGGAAGCAAACGCAGTTTGCCATGCATGAATGATCAGGGAAATGATGTTGAATGATCATCCCGATCCATCATCACCCATTTGCTAGGGAGACTTTCACGAGACTCTCGGAGTGTGATTCACCCAGACCAATGGTCACAGAGTTTCAGATTGCCATATTGGCTGATGGTCCAAAGCTCGTTCTTTGTGGTTTATTAGTTAAGGAGTTTGTGAACTTATTGTGAACAAATATTAGTTCATGGGTTTACAACTATAACTTACATGGTTTATATTATATATTGCAAAAACCCTATCTTTTGATCTTGGAGAGCCATGAAGGATCGTGTTTTCCGGAATGGGCCAGGTATGTCCAGGTACACCACGGTGTCCCCACGACTGGTATCCAACCAATGTTGACAGCCTTAGAGCCATTCGACACGGTGTCCGTGGAGCCAAAGTGTCAGGTGCATTTGGAGCACGCTCCGAAGTTTTCAGGGCTGGAGCACTTTGCCAAGGGAAGGTAGGGTCCACTGGACGGCTGGGGAATAGTGGAGGTTCAATAAGGAACATTTATTTGCATCCATGTTTGGGAACATGTTTATATCTTTGGGACCTTTGGGAAATAATTGGGATGAATACGAACTTAAGATTTCAATCCTGGCTCTGGGATTGAACATGAAGCCAGTTTGTGGGGAATGGGAATATCGTGGGATATATCCAACAATTGCGGGAAATGAACTGCTAGATAGTTGAGTTGAGTACAACTTCGTCTTGAGATATGGGGATATGTATACTAACCAGTTTTTAAGAAAATCGCTGGATATCAAAGCTTGGCCGTGTAGTGAAGCAAAAAACAAAAGGAAATTCCATCAACAGCAGGGTTCAAGTACTAAAACAGTTTAAAGACGTGGATTTCACTAGCAAAATCAATGGAAGCTGTTTGAAAAACGTCATTACAGCAACTAGATGAATATAATATATATATATATATATATATGTGTATAATATTCATAGAAGATGATTGGTAATGGCTAGCCTCAAGAAAGCACCTTTTTTGAGATATATAGATTGATCATTGTAATCTCGACCAGATGCATACATAAATTCCCAGGACACCGCCAGATTTTGACGACGATTCGTTACCTGCCAATTCGTCACCTACCAATGGATTCTTTAAACGTGGCTAGCGGTGTGCAAAGTGCAAGATAGAATAAACAGCGGAAACTTAATGCAATCATTATCAAGGTTGTGTCAAAAATGTGCATATTGATCATGATCCTAGAACCATATTCATATATATATATATATACATTTAATTATTTATATATATATAATTATATATTTATATACATAAATTGCCTAAATGTAGGCATTCATTTCCATTACATGCATGCAACCACCATACATTATTGGTATTAGATTATTAGATTCCACCATAAGACAATACATTCCATTACAAGTCATGCTGCTACCCGGTTACCGCGCAGGTTCGTGGATCTCACAGCTATTGTTCCAAGACTACTTTGGAAACGCCAGGCACTCAGAAACGGCTCCTGCGAAACCAAACATGCCAGGCGTTTGTTATTTGATTGTTTTTTGACCCTGGATCAACGATCATTTTTACAGTCGCAATCCCGAATCACTTCTTTGCTGCCATGAATCTTGTAGTTGTTTTTGATCGTTCTGTTTGTTCAGGTATGTTGAAACATAGTTGAACATGGTTCAAGCGTGATTCACATCTACGCATGTGGCACCAGCAAACAAAAAATGCATGATCCCTTCGGTTCAGATGGAAATTATGCACGGTTCAACTTCATGACCAGCATAGACCAGCTATCTTATTTGCCAATACACGCACCTGTTGTATCCTAAAAAAATATGGTTTGGTGGTGAACAAACCCCTTGACAATCATTGTTTTATATTGCGTATGCCAGTGTCCAGAGACCACCCCGCATCGCTTGTGGAAGCTGTTTGTTGGTGATCAGTGAAGAAGAAGCTGACCAACAAGAATGAATTGCTCAAGGGAAATGAACATACTGGTATCATGCATCTTGAGTTTGTTGGTTTGACAAAGTTTGAATGTTTTACCCATTGGTTCTAGAATGTTTGGAAAATGTTATGAAATCACTAGGGAGAACACTGCAACCGGTGATGCGATTCCAGACGGTTTCATACTTGGACTTGCGTTGACTTCGTCGCCGTTGACTTTGGCAATGCGATGTGAATATCCAATTTACTTATTTTTATTTTTTACTATTGCTAAAAAATGGATTCTTACTGTATGGATTATTTATTGTTATTTACATTTATTTGGGCTCATTATTTGCTTCGATGAAAACCCGTTCCGAGGTGAACATCATTCACTATGAGATGCGCTTCAGAGACTACCTCCGTTTGATCAAGAACGAAACCAGCTTGGAAGATTTCCGAAACAAGGCGAGGGCCAAGATGGGGCGACCTGAAGGTGATATCTTGCGATGATGTAATTCTATATATATATATATCCCTGAAAATGGATATTGTGTCCCATATATATATATAATTATATATATATGTATGTATATGCCTCGTCCCTGCTCTTGGAACCGCGCAAACCTGAATTAGGTTGGTAAAACTTGTCCATTCCGTGACGAAATTTAGCCGCGGAATTGACAAGTTTCATTAGGGTCATCATCATCATCATCATCATCATCAGCATTAGTATGAACATGAACACGGTGTTTGAGGATCTTCCGAGAAACATCATCACCCCGCGTGTGCGTAGCATCAACTACTTCTGCAAGTTCACGTGAACGTTAACATCCCACCCCACCCCCCCCACCCCGCGTGTGCGTAGCATCAACTACTTCTGCAAGTTCACATGAACGTTAATTCACATGAACGTTAACATCCCACGTTAATTCACATGAACGTTAACATCCCACCCCACCCCCCCCCCATCGTATGTGGTTCCAGGAGCAGGGACGAGCCTATATGTACATCTATGTATATATATAATTATATATATGTGTGTATACATCTATTTATATCTATTTATATATATTTATATACATACATATACATATACATATACATATACATATATACATATATACATATATACATATACATATACAAATACATATACATTATGTCCATACATACATACATACATACATACCTACATACATAGATACATACATACATACAAACATACATACAACACATACATACATACATACATAGATGCATGCATACATAGATACATAGATACATAGATACATACATACATACATACATACATAGATACATAGATATACACAACATAGCAACACCCAACCAAACATAACCTTACATTACATTACAAACAAACAAACAAACAAACAAAAAAACAAACAAATATACATATATATATACATATATTATGTAGAAATGTAGAATTACTTATACAGTTTTATCTCATTCCAATCACCTTAGATTCGGGCCTCCAGACCCGAGGTCCATGCAGCTGCCTGTTGCAGTGACAGGGAACTGCCCCGGCAACGACTGCGTAAAAAAATGGAGGTGCAGCTGGGTTTCGTTCTCCAGTCATCGCAATGGGAAATGACAAAATGGGAATTTCATCTTTGAATGCTGGTAGTTTGACGTATTTTGCACGTTTGATTACCGGGCGGAATTATGTTTAATGGATTTGAATGGTTGGTTACTAGGGAATGGTGGAGAATTAAGTAATAATGACGGGGATGCCATGGGGATATCATAGGATTTGATGGGACATATCCAACAATTATGAGAAAATCAAGCCTTCATTGTGGTTGCATTGGTTATAGACACTGAAGAAAAAGCACCGAGGAAACCAACAGTCCAACGCATGAGGAGAATGCATGTGCTTCTCAAGTCTCAAACAAACCAAAATCAGGTACCAGCAAGACAGGAAAAGCGTTCACTCTGTGCGGGCGCTGGTTTAGAAATATGTTTCCGTGTTTTGTTTGGTGTGTTGTGTGTGTACAGAATTCAGATTTATCTGGGATGATCCCCCATATCTAGTCCAAGATCACAGATGTAGATTTTGTTCCCTTTCTCCCCTGACCTTTTCGTAAGGGGTTGATACATCACCATGGATGGTGCGGGAAGAAACAACTGTTCCTTCGTGTGAGTCCCCATGATTCCCCATGTTGCTTTTGAATGTGTTTCTGTTGGGGCTAGTTACCTAGTTGTTGAACCTCCACCATATTGAAGCATATGGTCTGGATGATAAACGATCACAACCTCACAAGGGCCTCGCCATAGATGATTCGAAAGTGGAACAGATTTACAGAAGTAACATACCATTATTTTTTGCATATGTTTGCTTCATGTTCGTGACGTGGGTAGTCTGTTTACCATTTCACCAGACTTTCATAGCCCGGGTCCATAGATTTCGCCAGAGGCGGCTCTGGAGGCTGCCCTGTTGCGTCGGAGCTTCTGTGAAGATGGAAGCGACTGCGTTGGATCGCGTAGCCTACGATCTCGCAGAATTGCAGGGTTTCTTGGTGGATTTGTTGATGACACGGTGGGAATATCGCCAGTTGGAGTTTAAATGGACAGGGACTGACGGGTTTGTGTGTCATGGGGACACTTGGGACCTGGGATATTTCAGAATGACCCGCTTGGTACCGGCATGTGCTGGCAGTACTTTGATGACTTTACTTTTACCCATCAATTGCAAAGGGATTCTGATGTATTCTGATCAGCCCTTGAGATGACAGACTCGCAGGAGAAAAAGGAGGCCACCTACAATCAAAGATCAACTGGGCTCAGTCTCACGGTTTTCTCTGATAGAAGTGATCACCGCGAAGTGAGGATTTCACCAATACGTCTGGAGTTGAACCAGCATAAAACCAATATATTTATCCAACAAAACTTCCTGGTGTCTGAGTCGGGGGCGAGATCACTGCTATGAGCACCGTGATGTGCCTGAAAACCAAGACGGACCCCCCACAATTTTTGGGTGATATAATAATTATACGGTATATTAAGGTGATATACTAAAACATGATATACCGGGTATCACGATATATCGCCATGATATATTCCATTATTTTCCTGACGTGGCAGTCTTGGTGCCCTGTCCGGCCCCGAACATGACCTGAGGCGCCGTGAGCGGCGAGTATGAGAGGCGCACGAGACGGGCGTGGAGTTCCCATCTGGGCGACGGGCGAAAGCATTCACTACAGGCATCATGGCCTGATGCAAACCCGTGGAAATGGATGAGGTATGGGTTCCTATAAGCCCACCAAAATTCTAAATCATCCAAATTCACCCAACCAAATTGATCAAAGCGGGCCCGTTTGCCCGTTTTAGCAAAAAACGTTGCAACGCCCGGCCTAAATCCAGTGAATTTTGGTGGCTCGACGCGCTCGACAGGAAGACCGAAGACCCGGTCAACCTACCAGTTCCAAAAGGAAGGGCACAAGCCTCATCGTTACACCATGTTTTGACATACAGAAAAAATGCGAGAAAGATTCACACTACCTCAGGTGAACTTAGGCTTCGATAGGTGCCTATAGTAAGTTGCATTGTGGGAAGGATTATGTTGTTGCATGTTGTTGCCACAAATGGGAACACGGACAATTTGGCAAGAACTGATCTTTTCCAATGGTGATGGCCCTGCATTCACAATGAGTATACCGGAAAAGTTCCTGAACAAGACCTTGCTCCGATATCGCTTATAATTTGTTTCGCGTCTGCCTTATTTTTTGGGAATCTGAGAATTGAAAGTTAGTTGGGTTTGTCCCAAAATTGAGCATCCCTACTATCATTGATAATTATGATCATGTTTCGCCATTAAAATTACCATTGTTTTTCGGGCATCTTTGCACAAACCCAATGAACTGGGACCTGCAACTTTATGCTTCACCACATATATATATATATATATGTGGGGGCAAGTCAAAATAGGAGGCCCGGAACAAGCTCCGGGACCGCACCCGTTCCATACCCCCGTTCCATACCCCCGTTCCATACCTCCTTGAAGGATCCGTTCCATACCTCTGTTCCATACCTCTGTTCCATACCTCTGATCCATACGTTATTATAATTATTATTTATATATATACATACAATTATATATATATTTGATTATGTGCAATCTGATTTTGCATTTGTACGCACATATATGAGCGCACGTACTTACATGAGTGCATACATGCAAGAATACGTTTACTATGCCCAAGCCCTGTGATTGTGTTGGCAAGTCTGTGCCTGCAGCACTTACAGCTGCTACCTACTTTGTTGTGTGATGGTAGGGATGTGCTTGGCTGCTGCCAGCTGGCAGTCTAAGAATGGATTGCTTGTAACCCTCCCTCCCTCTCAACCTGCGGCAGGTTTGTGCCTGCACCACTTAGAGTTGCTGCAGGCTGTGGCACAGCTGTGGTGTTTGGTTGTAGAGATGCGCTTGGCTGCTGCCAGCTGGCAGTCTAAGAATTGCTTGCTGCGCTATTCTCGCTCCAAACTGCGAATTTTGGTAAAGATGTGCTGCGTGGTGGCAGTGCTGTGGTGGAGTGGGCCGTTTCGCTCCAGACCCCGTTCCATACCGTTCCATACCCGTTCCAGACCTGCACCACCCATGTACCACCCCTGACCCACTGGTGAACACATGGCAGGTTCTCACATAGACTGCTCGTAAGCCATCCTTTGCGCGTGGGTTATGGTAGTAGAGTCTTGCTATGCAGGGACACAATCTACCCCATAGGGACCTCTGAGCTTTAAGAGTAGGAGGTAGGACCTGCGTGACAGGTCTGAAGCTGAGTCGACAGCTTCACATGGTAGCCAGTGGGTGACACTGGCTACCGGTCGTGTCGTATCTAGTGCACGAGCACTAGCAATGCAAGGCAAACCTGCGTTGAACAGGTGTACAACAAGGATGTCGTGCAGATGAGGAGTAGCTTCAACGTGCACATCCTTGAGATGTATATTATATATGTTACATATAATGTATATATATATATATTTATTTATGTATAGCCTATATTTCATCACACTCCAAAGGTCCGGAACAAGAACAGTTACGAAGCCCCTTCGTTCCATACGCCCGGAACACCGTGATATTCCTATGCTGCTTCTCCTCATAGCTAAATGGTGGTGTCACATGTGTTTTACATATTCCATTGCTAGCGAGGTAAACCGTTCCCAAAAAAGCCTTACTTGGGCTTGGTGCATTTGGCCAGTTGTTTACAGTATGTGTGTAGCAACCCCAAATAGATAGAAAAGTTGGACGGCTGGAAGTTATGGTTCGGAAACATCATCTTTTTCACATCCTGGAAACACAGCTTTTCGATCTTTTTTTCATGTTTTTTCTATCTTTTTTGGGGTTGCTATGGATTGTGTGTATCACAAGTATTCTTAGAATCCACGCTTCATTTTTCACAGATTCACAGATTCACCACCAACTCACCGGCCTAAATGCTCGGGTAAAAAACAGGTGTACGCATATATAATTACCCTCTGGTAATTTAACATGGCTATTGAACATAGCCATTTATTGCTGATTTACCCATTAAAAATTGTGATTTTCCATAATTCGCTATGTTAGTTTACCAGAGGGTACAGAGGGTTTCCTACTCATTGTGTATTCCACGTAGAGTCATATGCTATTTGCATTCTATATAGGCGTGTCAAGGAGCCGCTGCACTGTGCTTGGAGTGCCGTGGGGGAAGTATGGGTAACATTGAGTAGCTGCTGATGGCCGCATGTTTCAGATATGCCCGATATGTCCTGATATCTGTCATCCCATGTTTGTTCTTAAGTGCTTTTATCACACGCATTTTCCATGTGGGTTTAGATATGTATATAGATTTATCCACTATTTGATGACTGTTTCAGAGATCGTCTCAGAGAACCGTTGCCAGGTTAGATTGTTGAAGGGTGATATGATCAATGATCACTCCTTCAAAAGGGATACGGGATAAGAACTATACATATATATATAATTATCTATGTATATGTATGTATATATGTATATATATATATATATATGTGTATAGTATATTTATATATTTATATATTTATATATATGTATATGTGTATATATATATATGTATATGTGTATATTTATATTTTTGTACATATATATATATGTATATATATGTATGTAATGTATGTATGTATGTATGTATGTATGTATGTATGTATGTATGTATGTATGTATGTATGTATGTATGTATGTATGTATGTATGTATGTGTGTGTGTCTGTATGTGTGTCTGTATGTGTGTATGTATGTATGTATGTATGTATGTATGTATGTATGTATGTATGTATGTATGTATGTATGTATGTAT